TCATCTTTCCACATGTGAATATGGCTACAGAGCAAATAGATAGGGCAGTCCATGCATTAATCTCTCAACTTATATGCACCAAAGATGAAAGCAAAATTTACTTGATGGACAGGAATGAACAGGAAACATACTTGATTTACATGAATTAAACCGAAACGTAATGAATTTGAATTTATGTTGATCCTAAAAATGGACTCTCTCTCTCTATGCACATGGACACAACCTCTTTGTTTGCGAGTGACAACCTTCACATGACAGCTCCGACAGTGTTTGAGTATACAAGCATGAGCCTGGATTCTGCAATGAGTTCCATTTTGTTAGAGAGAGAGAGAGAGAGTTTTTCCACATCATTCCCAAAACACTGAAGACAAAGCATTCTCTAACGGGATGCAAAACCCTTTCCAAGTACAAAATTAAGCCAAACGACTTCAAAAGTTCTCCAAATAAAAGAACCATAAAATTTTATTTTCCTTTTTGTAATTTAATCTAGCCTTTTTAAATACTACCGTAACCTCTTTGTGACATGAAATAAATCATAGAACAGAATAAAAAACTCAACGATAATCCACATTATCTAATCAAAGGCCAGTGAAATTGATCAAAACCTAAAAAGATAATCTTGTAGTATCAAGTAAAATAGCAACTGCCTAGGGAAAAGGAAAAGAGTAGTAGTAAACCATATGCTTTGGAGCATTATCTGCAACTTCTGCAGGTTGATCAACTCCCCTACTGGCCACACACGCCCCTTTGCAACTCATATACCTCTGCATCCTGTACAAGCAGAGATTATCAGTGTGGTGTTAAGTGGGAAAAAGTAAAATGATTCTTTTAAATGCCCATGAGTATTGTAAAAGTGAAATACACCAAGGAAACAATGCTCATGATGAAGGTAAGGATCGTACAGAGTCCCAAATCAAAATTCATCAAATAGTAACACCGTTTCTTCAATTATGTTGAAACCATAAATTTTCTTTTACGAAAAGAAATGAAGAAAGAAATATCAAGACCACACATTGCAGAGAAGCAACCATGAAACAAGGGAGAAAAACTTGCTAGTTAACTCTTCTCATTGCAGAAAAGAAACCACCAAACAAGGGAGAAAAAATTGCTAGTAACTCTTGTCAGGCTCTCTAGCCAACATTAGCATTCGTATGAGCATGCCTATAAAATTCATGTCCTCAGAAACTGACTACACAAAGACGATAGAAGGGGGGAAATCACCAGGCTCTTTAGATTTACATATGGGAACTTACAGTGCGAATAAAAAGGAAAGTTGCCGCAAAAATTGTACATAAAGTTTAGCAAGCTCACATTTCACAGGTATTCAAAGCCAACAGCTTGTTTACAACACAAGATTGGCCCTGTGACTTGCAAACTGAGTTGCATGACTGCCCTTGCCTGTCCTCAAAACAAATACAACGGTTGGTCATTACCTCCAAATAGCTCCAGCTTTTGAACTTAAGGAAAAACCTTGTTTATTAAAAAGAAGACAAATAACTCATGCAATCTCTCACATTCCAAGTTATCAAATAAAAAAGAAATATTACCTTCCCACAAACACATTGATTCCAGCCAATCTTTCTTCTATGGTAGCATCCACAGGTCCTGCCTCAATAAGAATGCTAAACCATGTTATTTGCCAATTCCGGTACAATTTTCATTGAACCATTAATCACAAAAGTGTACTATCCCATATAATAATATAATTTCATGGGGTTGTTCAGCAGTAGGATTAGAACTGGGGATGTAGTGTCTAAATGATAAAAATATAATATTTTTGGGGCTACATTTCTACACTTTTTTACTGTAATAGTGCTGTAGGATTGAACTATCAAATATTATTGCTGAATGACCAAGTAAAACAGATTGCTCAATGCAAAATACGGCATTTCACAAACTCAAAATTCTTACAGGTGCTTAATCCTAAACACTATTATAGATAACTCAATGCAATTTTCTAGTACTAATTTTCAAATTACATAATGCTTAGCTAACCGTCGAAATTCCTTCCAGTAAATTCTCAGCCATTTGAGACAATGGATCAGACCAATAGAAAAGCATTGTTGACTCACCAGAAGTGTTTGGCTGCAAAGAGAAGCAGTGATGGAAGTCACTGGCATAAGCATTCTCATGAACCTGAAAAATGTAAAACGATAACATGAAGAAAATACGCCTGTCCCCACTGCGTTCCAAATAAGTATTCTCTCTTTTTATGGATCGCATCTCTCAATAAAAAAAAGGGAAAATATCCTATTATCCCCTA